ATCATCAATCAATAACATGTTAGTCTTAAGCGTATTATTATGGGGGTATTATTATTGTCCATGCCCATAATAATACTTGACTAGGGATCTTTTAATAATAACAATTATGTCATTATATGGACTTTATTATCTTCTAGTTTATGTTAAACACATATATATAACTGAAAATAATAGCGGTAATGCCTTTATTCAATAAAATCGGTAAATAAATGTATTATTACAATCATCATATGATTGGTCTTTGGGCATACTCTAACACTAGCTTACTTTTCAAAGTGTTTTCCCCTTTCAGATATTTGTAGATAAGCAATGCTTCAGGAACTTGGAGGATCGAAACATTATAGAATAACTTTTTGTTGTAATGATTATATCTTCCGAATTACTTTTCAAACTGTTTTCCCCTTTCAGATATTTTGACATACTTGTTTTATGATGATGATGTTTATGGATTTTTACTACTTATACTTGGTTTACTGTACTTTAGGTTTATGAAATGTTTTGTTTTATGTAACCATTTTCAGTTTTATATTTACGAGTTAAAATTTTATCGTTATTTATTATACATTTATAAATGTCAATTGTAATAAGGTTTTAAATTATCAAATAATATTTTTGGAAAAATTATTTTAAGAAATTTTAATGTAATTCACTAGACTTAGTCTAAACGCATAGGCTAGGTCTAGGGGTTAAATTTTATTGGTATAAGAGCTTTTGGTTTTTAAACCTAGACAGTAAATGGTTCTCACATAAAATTTTAAACTGTTTTGGAAATGTTTTACAAAATTTCTGTAAGGCCATGTTACTTGTTTTTACAAGTTAAATGTTTATAGTACTCCAATGCCAATCTAACCTTAAGTCTACCTCTTATAGTGAATTAGAGATCCTTGTCGATGAGCTCCTGATGAGATTGTTGACCTAGTCGTGGGCAAGGTCAAGCTACTAGATTTTCTGAATTGGTTGATGACACTGCTATTGACCCGCCACCTGCTCTTGAGATAGATATATCGACTCCTGTTAGGGGAGTTCCCAACTCTAGTTATGAGCCTATGAGAGTGGTGCTTGATGAGACTCTCGGTAGGTAATTTCTGCAACTGATTCTGGGTGCGGTTAGAGTTGCTGGTATCGTCCTTGAGGTTTTGATTTCTCAGATTTTGATTGCTAATAGGGTCAAGACTTTTGGAGGTCCGATTGGAAGAACTCCTACTGAAGCTGAAGATTGGCTCAATGACACGGAAATACATATGAATCAGTTGGTTTTGGGCCCAACCAAGAGATATCTGGGTGCAATTGCGATGTTAGATGGGAATGCCCACACTTGGTGGGAGTATGTAGTCAGTAATGTCCCAACTGATCATTTGACTTGGGAGTTCTTCAAAGAGTTCTTCAAGAAGTATTTTCTGGGAGAGCATTATCTGGCTGAGATACGACAATTATTCCAAGACTTGGTGCAGGGTGATATGTCAATCTCTGAGTACGAGATGGAATTCTTGAAACTTTTAAAATATGTTATTAGTATTGTTCCCACTGAGAGAGATAGATGCCGCAAGTTTGCTCTCGGACTCAGATATGAGCTGCGTAGGCAGGTTGTGACCCACCAGAATGAGATTTTTGATGTGCTGGTGAGTAGAGCGAAAGATACCGAGGAGGTGGAGGCCTTAGCTCCTGATAGAGATCATGTTGATCAAGAAAGAACTAAGAAGTCTTCCAACGCTATTGAGTCTTCTGCACAGTCAGGGAAGAGGACTCGTACTTCAACCCCTCAGAAGAGCAATATCCATTCCAGGCATGCATGATCTTTACCCCTAATTATTAGTTAAGGTAGTTCTTCGGGGTTACCTCAGGTACCCCTTTGTGATTATTATGGTAATCGACACAGAGGAGAGTGTCGTTGAAAGATGGGTGACTGCTACCATTATGGATCCAGTGGTCATTTCTGGAGGGACTGTCCACAGCTAGCTTCATATGAGCGGACAACTACCCAGACTCCTGCACGTTCACATGAATTAGTTCATACCCAACCAGATGTCGTAGTCAAGAAAAGCCTTCCGAATCAGCATCCAAGGAAGATAGTAGAGCCCGAACCTAGCAAAGCTGAGAGCCTGTAGTTTTAGATGCCAGACAGCCAGCTCTAGTGTATGTTACTAGACGTTGGGATGATAGGGATGAGCCAGAGATTATTGCAGGTACATTTACCATTTATTTTGTTTCATACTTTGCATTACTAGATAATGGATCCACCCACTCATATGTATTGAGTTCAGTATGCCGAAACCTTCATATTTTGGTTCAGAACACTGATAATACTGTTACAATTACGACTCTAGTAGAACAGTCAATGGTGGTGAATAAGGTATTTGGGCATTGTCCTTTAGAGGTTCAGGGTAAAATTTTTCTTGTCGACCTTATGGAGGTTCCTTTAGAAGAGTTCGATTTAATTCTGGGGATGGATTGGTTGAATAAACATAAGGTCAATTTGGATTGTGAGTACAAGAGAGCTACTCTGAAGACTTTTGATGGTCAGACTGTTGTGTTAATTAGTGAACGTCACGACTATCTCTCCAATATAGTTTTGGCTATGGTAATTGACCGAATAGTTTGGAAGGGATATGAGACTTTCATTGCCTGTATATTGAACACTAAAGGTTCCTTGTCCAAAATTGAGGAGATTCGTACAGTTAGTGAGTTTCCTGATGTCTTTCCGGAGGAGTTGCCAGGGTTACCTCCTGATAAAGAGGTAGAGTTCGAGATTGAGACATATACTGGATTTGCACTTGTTTCCATGGCACCCTATCACATGGCTTCGAAGGAACTTAAGGAGTTGAAGGTTTAGTTGCAAGAATTACTCGATCGGGGGTTTATCAGACATAATACCTCACCCTTGGGAGTTCCAGTTTTTTTTGTGAAAAAAAATGATGAATCGCTGAGGCTATGTATTGACTACTAGAAATTGAACAAGTTGACGGTTAAGAACAAGTATGCACTACCCATCATTGATGACTTATTCGATCAATTACGAGGAACTACTATATTTTCTAAGATTAATCTTCACTCAGGGTATTATCAGTTAAAAGTTAAAGGTTCAGATGTTACGAAGACTGCTATCCGCACGAGATATGGGAATTATGAGTTCTTGGTGATACCTTTTGGTCTAACGAATACTCCTATAGCTTTTATGGACCTGATGAATCGTGTGTTACGGCCCTATTTAGATTAGTTTGTAGTAATTTTCATTGATGATATTCTAGTCTATTCTCGGACTTAGGCAGAGCATGATGAGATTTGAAGATGGTTCTACAGACTCTAAGATAGAATTGTTTGTATGATAAGTTGATAAAATGTGAATTTTAGCTTCGGGAGGTGTCATTCCTTGGGAATATTGTTTCTTTGAGTGGTATTCAGGTTGATCCGAGCAAGATTGAGGCTATTGTAAGTTGAAAGCGACCCAAGAATGTCTTTGAGATTCATAGTTTCTTGGGCTTAGCAGGATATTATCAACGTTTTGTCAAGGGTTTCTTGATTATTGCGGCTCCTTTGATGAAGTTGTTTAAGAAGAATGTCTCGTTTTGAATGGGGCGAAGCATAACAGTAGAGTTTTGAGAAATTAAAGGTGATTTTGACTCAAGCTCCAGTGTTGACTCAACCTGAGCCCGGGAAGGATTTTACAGTGTATAGTGACGCTTCACACTCCGGTCTTACCTGTGTTTTGATGCATGAGGGTAAAATAGTAGCTTATGTATCCCATAAGCTGTGCCCGTATGAGTGTAACTACCCGACCCATGATTTGGAGTTAGCAACAGTGATCTTTGCTTTAAAGATCTGGAGACACTACCTTTATGGAGAGAAATGTTACATTTTTATGGATCATAAGAGCTTAAAGTATCTTCTGACCCAGAAGGAGCTTAATCTAAGGTAGTGTCATTGGCTAGATCTTCTGAATGATTATGATTGTGTGATTGATTATCACCCAGGTAAATCTAACATCGTTGTAGATACTTTGAGTCAGAATGCGATAGCTGATTTGAGGTCCTTAATGGCTAGGATGAATTTATTTGATTATGACACTTTGTTAGCATAATTATTGGTTAAGCCGACCTTAGCTAAGAAGATCAAGGCCAAATAATCTCTTGATAGCTCCTTGATTCCTATCTTTGAGCAAGTGGAGCAGGGGACAACCTCAGATTATACTTTAGACCAAGATGGAGTGTTATGCTTCAATAGTCGATATTGTATGCCTGATGATGCAGAGTTGAGACAAGCTATTCTCAGTAACGGTCACAGTAGTCCATATGTTATGCACCCCGATGGAGATAAGATATACCAGAATCTGAGAGAGAGGTATCATTTGATCGGCATGAAGAAGGATAACTCTGATTTCGTGGCAAGATGTTTGACTTGTCAGCAAGTTAAGACCGTGCACCAACATCCATCGGGTTTGTTACAACCCATCAAGATTCCCGAGTAGAAATGAGAGCGTATTACTATGAATTTCGTTACTGGGTTGCCTTTGACACATTTGAAAAGGATTCAGTCTGGGTGATTGTAGATAGACTTACAAAGTCATCTCACTTCATTCCCGTGTGGGTAAATTATATGTTGGACAAGCTGGCTAGAATGTATATCTCAGAGATCGTCAGATTGCATGGTGTCCGTTATATATGATTTTTGATCGAGATCCAAGATTTACTTCAAGATTTTGGAAGGCACTGCATAGGGCTCAGGGTACGAGATTGGATTTTAGTACAACATTCCACCCATAAACTGATGGTCAATCTCAGTGAGTGATTCAGGTTATGGAGGATATGTTACGGGGTTGCGTGATTGATTTTTTGTGGTAGTTGGGAGAACTTTTGCCTTTGGCTGAGTTTGCTTACAATAACGCTACCAGGCCAGCATTTTTATGGCACCGTACGAAGCACTCTATGGGCATAGATGTCGTACCCCCGATATGTTAGACAGATTTGCGTGATTGAAATACTTTGGGACCTGAGTTAGTGCGCGAGATGGAGGACACTGTCAGATTGATCTGTGACCGCCTGAAAGAGGCATTTGACAAGCATAAGTCTTATGCTAACCAGAGAAGGAAAGATATCCAGTTTGAGGTTAAAGATCAGGTTTTTAAAAGTATCCCCTGGAAGAAAGTACTAAGATTCGGGTGCAAGGGTAAATTGAGTCCAAGATTTATTGGACCATTTTGTATCTTGAAGAGAGTAGGACATGTTGCATACAAGCTTGAGTTGCCTCCTCATCTCATTCGTATTCATGATGTCTTTCATGTGTCGATGTTGAGGCTCTATCGTTCGGACCCAACCCACATCATTCAGTTAGAATATGTTGAGTTGAGACCAGATTTATCATATGATAAGGAGCCTGTTCAGATCTTGGATCGAGATGAGAGAGTGTTGAGGAATAAGTGTATTCCTATGGTAATGGTCCAGTGGAGTAATCAAGGTCCAGCAGATGCCACCTTAGAGACAAAAAAATCTATAAAGACTCAATTTTAATTTATGGGCTAGATTAAAAACTGATTAAGTTAGTAGACCATTTTAGGAAGTTTTGAAGAATGCAAGGACTAAAATAGGAAATTAACCATTTCATACTACCCGATAAAAATATATTACCCGATTGGGTAAACCCAAATTATTTCCCCCAAAATTGAACCAAATCCCTAATCCCAAATCACTCCCCTGACGGTCTCCTTCCCAGCCAAAATACGCCGCCGTCCGGCCACCCCAACCCGAGCCACGACCACCAAAGTGCTCACTATCGAACAGTGATCAAAACCCGACCTTTGATTTTTTGAGAAAAGGCGTCGTTCGCCGTGGATCAGCCAAAGTTAGCCAACGAAAACCCCTTCGATCACTGCCTATTCTAGCAATTTTTAGTCGTGTCCGGCATTGGTTCACCTCACCACCGCCTCCACTGCACTGACCGGTGTCGTGCGATCAAAACCAACCGGTTTTGTTCACCGGTGATGCATCGTCACTGATCCCCGACGTGGGTAAGTTACCAATCAGGTTTTGGTATATTGGATTGGTTTATTGGTGATATTAGATTGATTTTTAGGTGTAATTGAGTTTATTGGGAAAATTTGGCTGGTGATATGGTCCCAGCCGCACGTACGGCGCTGCTCGTGGGGTTTGTTTGGCACAAAGAAATTTCCAGAACCGGTTAGCCTGAAATTTCTGCCCGACCCGCTTACCTGACCCAATGATCTGACCGAACCGTTTACTTTGGTAAGAGTTGACCGTTGACCAGTCAGACCATTGACTTTGACCGGTCAGACCGTTAACCATTAACCATTAACTTTGACCGAAAAAGTCAAATTTCTGAAAGCCATTTTTTATGTTTTTTGACGTCCTGAACCCAATTTTGAAGTCTTTTTTTCCAAATTCTAACCTGAAAGCCTGTAAATTGACCATCAAAACCAAATATTCTTAAGTAATTAAATGTTTTAATTTAAGAAAAATTAAAGTAAGACTTTGGATTGATTAATTGTTATTGTTTGAAGGTACTAGAGACTTATCCGACCATTCACCAGCTCAACCTAGATCTTCTCGATCCGTTAGGCAACGGGAGTCGATAGTCACTTGTATGAACCATGAACTTTTTGAATACCCTAATTTAAAATATTACTTCGATATTAACTCTGATTACTATGATTTAGGTTCGAGCACTATAGCAGAGCGTGACGAGGCTGGTGCTAAGTAGTTTTGCTGTGCACCCATTTTTACGAGGTGTGTTCCCTATGTGCTACTCGATGGTTTTATCTGATTTGATATATATTTCACTAAAATTTATGATTTAATGGATGATGTTTCATGAACTATGATCGAATGATGCGTGATATTTGATTGATTGTTTTAACTGGACGATATTATTTTACCGAATACAGATCATGAAAATCTTTGCTTTTTATGTGAACTATTTTATGGGGATATTATCTTGGTAGACTGGAGTATAGAGGTACAACCTTTATCAAGCTAGTAAATCCTTACGGATCTAAGGTGACTTCTGGGTAGGCTTGCAGGCCCCAAGACGTTCCCTTAGGTTGGATCCTTATACCCAATGGATATAATGTTACCCTATGGACGCAGTTCTGGGGAACTGCATATGGTGTACGGGAAGAGGGTATACTATGTGATTTAATATCTTATGTTCTATCAGGATTTCCATGATACTGTACTAGACTTTTACTTGATGGTTTGTCATACTATGTTTTATTTTACACTAATGGGACACACTGAGACCCTAGCTCACTTTTCAAACTGTTTTTTCCCTCTCAGATATTTATGGATAGGCACCGATTCAGGCACTTGGAGGATCGACACATTATAGAAAACTTTTTGTTGTAATATTTTTATCTTTCTAATTGCTTTTAATTGTGTGATCTGGGCCTTTATTTTGACATACTCATTTTATGATGACGATGTTTATGGATTTTTTCTACTGATACTTGGTCTACTGTACTCCAGGTTTATAACGTGTTTTGTTTTATGTAACCGGTTTTAGTTTTATATTTACGAGTTAAAATTTTATCACTATTTATTATAGTTTTATAAATGTCAATTATAATATGATTTTAAATTTTTGAATAATGTTTTTGGAAAAAATGTTTTAAGAAATTTTAATGTAATTCACTAGACTTAGTTGAAACGCATAGGCTGGGTCTAGGGGGCTACATTCTCATACATGTTTTAATAACTTCCATGACTTCTAATCTCTTATTTACATCTTTGACAAGTCAAATATATCTTTAAACCTCTATAACGAACCGTACATCATTTTTCTCAAAAACCCATTTTCTTCAATCTCAAATAGCTCATTCATCTCTAAATTTTAATCCTCTTTAAACCTTCCTTAAGCTTCTACGTCACTTAAGGTTTCAAAATCAAACAAAAAATGAAAGGAAAAACTAACTATATGAAGCCTTACATTTGCTATGGGGGGCTCGAGACGTGAGGAAGAAAAAGATGAGATAACTAACATAACTTATCCCCTTATTCGCCTACTCACTTATTTAAATAACCCAATTAAATGAATATTAAATTCATTCCCTCTAAATGACTAAATTACAATTCTTCCATTCTTATTAATAAGTCTCAAACACAATTTCCAAAATCATTTCTTATACTTTACCAATTATTCAATTAAATGGCTGATACCACATTAGAAAAGTTGAGTGTCTATCACGTTAGCTAGAAAAGCTGAATGTCTATCACGTTAGCTAGAAAAGTTATACACCATTTTGACATCATTTTCTTTGCAGTCATGGCTGATACCACATTAGATGGTGATTTCGCATTTTCGTCGATCACTACAATTTCGGAGCCTACTGCATCCTTAAAAATAACCGCTTCTTACGATAATCAACCCATCCATGATGTGGAGACTACCAATCCATGCCCAATATAATTTCAAACTCATCGAAAGGTAACTCCATCAAGTTTGCTGGGATCACAACCCCTTGAATCTTCATCGGACATTTTCTACATACTCGCGTTACTCTCACACTATAACCCATAGGGTTTACCACTACCATCTCACTAAAAATTGGTTCTAAAGGAATTCCTCTAACTCTAACCAATATTTTACTAATGTACGAGTGTGTGGAACTAGGTCAATCAAAACAATACATGTTCATCAAAAAGATGGAAAGTACCTGTTAAAATTTATGGGTCATCCCAATCCTCATTAGTCTTAATATTATAAATTCGGGCCACACCCTTAGTCTCTTGTTCATTGATTTGACTCAAATTACCCGCCAGATCTACCTCTTCCTTTACTTCTATTAGATGTTGTTACTAACCTCTCAGTTTGAACTGATCTGTCTCCGGATCTCTTTGGACAATTTCAAGTATAGTGATTAGATTCACCACAATGGAAACAAGAACCATTGAGTAATCTACACACTCTACGATGAAATTTTCCACATGTCTGACATGGATTAGTTCTTTATCCATATACTCTCCCTGAGCTAGCAGCCAAAGTCGGTGATTGCTTATTGTTTTGTGAAATTATAGAAAAACCATCTCTGTTATTGTATCGGGAACTAGAAACTTTGCCTCTCTTGGTATGATGGGAAGTTAAAGACATTCCAACTCTTTTTGTCGTCTGCATATCATGCTCTCCTGTTAGAGTCTCCTCTTGAGCTCTTTCAATGGCCTTAGCTCGATTTATAATTTCCTGCAAGCTAGGCAAGTTTAAAGCTAACATCATCTCTTTCAACTTTGGCCTCAAACCTTCAACGATCTAATCACGTCGGGCTTTATCATTATGAACCACCTCATTAGCAAAACGACTCAGCTTGTTTTACTCAGCCTCGTACTCATGTCCTGCTCGATTGCCTTATTTCATATTAAAAAACTTCAACAACATTAACCGCTTAAATTGCTCCCTGATGTACCAGGTCACTTGCTCAGGTTGTGCATATATTGTAGTGTTTGTTAATCCTTAAAGTAAAGATACATCTACGCCCAACTTTTTAGGATCTGAGCACTGAAGACTTTCCAGCATCACCATAACGCCGTTTAACTATAAATCAACATCCATCAGACCTTCATCCTCTTCTCCCCGGAAATCAGGAGCTCCCAAGCTCCTCAACTCTTTTGGGATTAATATTCACGGTGCAAGACGAATAGGGGAGGCGGAGCGGGTTGAAACCGAGTCAAGATTGCATCGAGAGCCTGCATGAATGCTCTAAACTCTGGCACTACATACCCTGATGTGCCAGTGCACTTGCATTTTTGGACGGAATCGGTGCTCACTATTAGCTTCATAACTCTCACTTCCCGACCCTTCTCTAATTTCTTGACCAGTCGCTCTCCGGGAATTTGTAGAATACGACATCTAGTAGAACATACATAATGATAACACTCAAGTTAGTAAGGAGTGACATCAATCGTATTCTAACTATATCATAAAAGTAACCTTGACATATTAGTGACATATTAACCCTTTTTACAGTAAAATACACCCGATTTTGGCCGAGAATCGTCTAAACTTGTAGCTCTGATACTAATAAATGTAACACCAATTACCCGTATACGTTTCCGTACACAAATCACAGATGTCACATAACTTTTAAAAACTTTCCTAACTATTAAAAAACCCATAAAATTTTGTTTCTAATTATAAAACTCTTTAATTTAATAATAATAAAACATTCATTAACTTTTAGTATGTAAACAAATCTTAAAATACAAACATAATATATTTTTCATCATTATAAGTCAAATACATTTCAGAGAATTTTCATAAGTCTATTACATTCCAACTAAATACATAAAAAGTGGACATGGTTGTCATACATTTACTGATGAGGCGACCCTTGATTGGCGATGTAAGATGCCCTCTTTAGACCGATCGCTAAAACCTACGCGTGAAATCAACACACATTAAGAATTTACTTAGCGAGACAATAACAATAATGAGGTGAAATCAATACATAAGTATATTGTAACTATCAAAATTTGAATTAATTATTTCAAATCATTATAAGTTC